ACAAGGAGGAAAAAGTAAGAGTACGGTTTGGGGGCGGGGGGGGTTTAAAACAAAGCAAAACAAACGAAAAAATCAAGAAGTTAGCAACAAAGCTGTGGCCGCAGCAGCGGCTTCTCCGAGGGTTATTTAACGAGAGGGACTCTGCAAATGGAGCAACGTGCGGCACATGTCGGGTTTCGTGGGGAACGTGGTTTCCTGGCAGACTGACTTGCCGGGGACCAGGCTTCTTGGGGGGCAGGAAATCCTCTTATCGCTGCGGGGAAGCGGCGCTGACTGCCGTTGTCAGTGGGAGTTGTCCACGGGCGAGGAGGGACGGATGGACGGATGGTGAGCGGTGCCAGCAAGCAGGTGAGCGCTCTCGGGTGTGCTTAACTTCAGGCAAAAAAACAGGCGTCTGCAACTTGCACTTCTTAGACCTTTATTCCTTTACCTCTGCCAGCTGCACAGCAAAAAAAGAGGTTTACCCCAGAATAATTCGATCGGACTTCTTTTCGACAGCGATGTGTGTAATAACTACACAAATATTGTCTCTGATCCTATGAAACCTGTAAGAAAAGGTCTATTTATTCGAATGCGGTCAGGATCGGGCCCACAATCTGCAAGTCTGTCTTAACACTTATGAGTCTAAACATTGGGAATAAGGAGACTATCAGGGGCACGAACATTTTTTGTTAAGTGGAAAAACCCACCTTCATTCGTCATTGCTTGAAAAATTGCCAGTTTGGAAATGGAAAAGGTACAATTCAATAGATACAATTACTGACAAATTTAATAAAGACAAATAATTAGTCAATTGGCACTTACTGATTTAAGCAGCTCGTTTATTATTTATATAAAACGCCAAGTGTGCTGGATACTTGAAACATGATATCATTGAAAATGATATCATTCACACTGTAACAATGTATTTTTTTTAATTATGGTAGAGAGAATATATATATATACTATATATTTACTAATTCATCTTCTCCATGCCTCTGTTTTATAACAGCAATTTTGGTTAACCATAGCTTTTCAGGAAATTGAGCTAGGCTCCTCCTAAATACAGCCACAGAATTCAAGCAGCTTTAAAAATATTACAAGACTTTAGTGTACATTTAGCTATGCTTTTCATTTTTATACCGATTCTCAGCATCACCCAGTGAAAATATGGGTTTTTTTTCTTTTTCTTTTTCTTTTTCTTTTTTTTTTGTGATCTGTGGCTAACGGCACTCCAGGGAGAATAAGACCAGGAAACAAAAGTTGTACTACATGATTGGCCTTTTATAAGGCTTTAAGTCTTCTTGTACAGAGCTGACCATTGAGCCAGCATAACCTTTGGTTATACATGTCAGTCCAGAAAGGGTGATAGAAAGCATTAGGTTGACTATAGAAATGTCAGCAGAGGCTCAGCACTCCTCAGCTGGCTATCAGCAAAGCTAATTACTTACTACCATGACACAAAACATTGAGGCAGGAACAGACGAATAACACTGAAAAGCGTGCGTTTGGTGGTACTAGCAAAAAAATGTTACATATGGGTGTGTGAAAAAGTCATGATTCAGCTCCAGTTACACTGGAGCTAGGGCCGGGCGGCAGCGGGGTGCGGCCGGGTCCAAAACCGGACCCGGCCAGATACTTCCACCTTCTTCTTTCACAAAATGTACCTGAAGCACACCCACAACTTCACATTCTCTTTTTGAAATGAGCACCTATGCAGTGCAAACTGAAGGGTATTTATTAATTCCAATTTCATCCAAACTCCAAGTTGAGATCCTAAGAGAGCTAACCATTGTCCTAATCGTTGTCTACCAAAGTGATAACGTCTCCAAATACTCTGAAAATGCTTAACGAGATACACACATCATCATAACCAACAGTAAGAGCAGCAGGCCTCTCAGTGTTTAGGGTGTAGACCAAAAACAACACAGAAACACTCCCACAATTTTAAGAGGGCACTCCAACCGTGTCAGAAAGAGGGGTTTACTATCCTGAACTTAGTAAGAACAGTAGAATGGGTGAGGTGTATGAGTGGCACAAACCTCAGGGAAAAGGGGAGACAATGAAGATAAACACTTCTTTTTAAAAACAAGACAGAAGCGGACAAAGTACTGATACTTCAGTAAGATATACTGACAGGAATCTTTCCATGAGTAAGAA